CACAATAACGTCTGTGCGGTCACCAAAATGTCGCACGCACCAGTCTTTGTCATCACTTACCATGACGAAAACACATCCTACGTATTTCAGTCTATAGTATTCCATTGCCGATGTTAGATATTCGACGGAAGATTCGATTTTAAAAAATGACAAAAAATCACCTCGACGAATGTGAATACCAATCCATGTATAGCTTGAATCATATAAAGATTGCTTTAGTCCATTAAATGTCGCATTCGTATCAGATGTAAAGTTCACTTTAAGAATGTCATACATTCGTTGCGTGTCGTTAAGAGAACAATTTTTTCCATAAACGCATTGTTGACGAAGGGATAAGTGCCACTTAAGGAAAGGAGCAATCATATGGATCGTTCCAACCTTTTAAAAAAAAAACTGAAATATATATTTTGTTACGTATGATGTTTCAGACTTACACCCTAATGACTTTTTATAATATAATGTATTATATTATTATGTGTGAAATCTCTCAAAACAGCTTACCCTAAAATTATATAATTTTCGAATTTCATTTTCGTATTGTATAAAATATCTGTACGATTGATAGAAACCGCCCACTTCGTAGTACTTAATTGCGCCGGGTTCCATCAAATCGTCGTAAAACATGCAAGCACTATATCTACCAAATATTAGTGATTTATTCAAATTTTCGTAGACTGATCTGTTCACTAAATTGGGCAGATTAATGGGTTCAAAAGTGCCACTAAGATCATATAGAATCCATGGTTCGACAAACAAATGGCATTGATGTAGCCGAGCTAGACCGTAGGCACTGGCAAATAGAAACATTCGATTGCCAAGGCCCCCGTCGACACTGCGTACAATAATTAAACATTGCAGTTTGTTGTAAACCTAAGAAAAAGCACCTAAGGCTTGGAAAGCTATCATATCAGAATGTTTACCCATGGTGTAAATTTGAATAATGAGATATTGTAGCTGGCCGGTGCTGCAAATAGATATCTTGCAGTAACAGTTTCGTCTTCTAGTTGAAATGAATTGTCTGTGGATTTTATTGTTGAAATAGAATAACTGTTAATTTTACTCAGCATCTCTCTGAATGGTGAATGAAAATTATTAAATGATATCGTTGTCAACACAATTACAGACAGTATGGCTAACAAAAGAACGACAGCTCTTTTACTATTATTCATAGTTCACACCAGTCATAAATCATTCATTCATCATTTCTGCGAAGAATATTTTCTAAAAAGTAAAGTATTCATACTTGAATAGTAATATAGACATAAGACGAAATAGCTTAACTATTGTACGTACATCCACAGATTGTTCGATCTCATTTCGAATTTGAAATCATGAACAGTTCTTTTTTCTTGCTTAAACTTTTTACTGTTGCAAGGTTTAACGAAGAAAAATAAATAAGAAAAGACACAATCACATGAATTTGCACAAAACAAACAAAAAAAAAGGGCATACAACGACATGAAAAAAAAAATGTTTTATGAAGAAAGAAAAATTAAAATACAACTACATACAATTCGATCGTGAATATTAAAATGAACAGTGGCCTTCCTTTTTTCTAACTGAATTTTTAAATCATTTGCAGACGTATCTTAGTAAGAATTTGAGCCACTGCTTAAATTTATCTTACCACGGAGCCACCAAAGATGTCCAGTCGATATTGAGCCAGTCTTTTGGGCTTATGTAGCCCTTGGTCAAACTAAAAGAATCTAACAGGAGCTGCTTATGGATCTTTTGGCACGAAATATCGATTTTAAGAGTTCCATTCAAACGGTAATCTCCTTTTGAGGAAAAAACGATTTTTCTGCAAGGTGGTCGATTCGTGCGCTGAAATCTTTTACCGGAGTACAACAAAGGCTGTCTACCTATAATAAAAGCTTCGTCAAAATCGGTCATATTGTTGCCGAAATACGGATCTTCAAAAAAGAGTCTCTTCCCATGTATATTCTCTCAAATTCTTGAATGCACACGCAGACACAACCATCACAAACTAAAAGAAACAAGTCGAACAGACTGAAAATGCTTACAGAATATGATGAGGCTTGCAGCACAGCCCACGATGGCGGAGGTGACATGTTTGGTGTCGTCTTCGTGCTCATCGTTGTGTTCGTAACTACGAACGACAGACTGGGCTTTATTTCTTGCAGATCTTGTTCCGCTTTCATACTACTATTCTTTGTATCACTTACCATCTAAAGAAATTCGAAGAACGATGTCACACATAGACATCTATACAGGAGAGGATGAGAAAAAAGAAGGCATCAACCTTTGCTGTTACTTGAAGTGAGGGAAACGTGTGCGCATGTACGCGAAAGTTTCGTCTGACCAAGTAGTATTTTGAACGCTCCATCTGAGATAAAATTTTAAGAACTTAAAGCGTAAAGAACATCATTTTTGGAAGAGACAGACTAAGTGACCCCGACAGAGGAGGATACACTCTAAAAAGGCTGCGACTTAGGATCAGATTAAGACGCGTTAATGTGTCTTAGTTTCACAGAATAAGGCACATTAATGCGACTTAATTTGATACTAACTAGCAGTTTCTTTAGAGTGTACAGAAACGCGGCCAATCATTCGTGTTCCTCGATAAATGGCCGATTAGCGTTTCGAGTCGCACTATTCTAATACTTTGATACTGATCGCATTTAGAATACCACTTACGACTGGTCAGACGAAACTTTCGCCATGAACAACAGAACGTGTAAAGTGCCGGTAATTCAAAATTACAGAAAGACTTTTTTGGCTTGGTTGATAGAGCTCATCAAGTTGCATCGAAAAAATACAATCCCACATCTTAAGACGTCATTTTTTGATGAAAAAATTTAAAGATACACATTTCTTGAAAACAAGTAGAACATCGTGAATTTTTAAAAATAAGGAAACTTTTCATACTTATTGTTTTTCTAGAATTCCAAACCTATCTTTTTCTGATTTCCCATCGAAAACTGAGTACAGAAAGCTGAATTTCAAAATTTTAAAGTTGAAACTGACCGCTAAACCCACGAAACAGGAGCAGAATCGTAAAAACCCTACTGTCGAATTTGCAAACGTATCCAGTTCTTTCCATTGAAAGACTAAGCATTAATTGTTATTTTCTTCTAACCAGTATACGTGTAGGAAAAAAAGTATGCGACGTTTCTTTCGAAATACTTGGTCATTTTCGAGAAAAGTCAATTTTTAATTAAATAAGAGGTAAAAAGATAAAATAAATTTTCATAATAATAGTTATGTGTGCGTGAAGAAAATGCTAGAATGTCAAAAGTTTTTCTTTTTCACTCATTCTTTCTATAGAAATTGCTACATAAGAGTTCACCGATGTTCAGATAACTTGTTTATTGGATTTCGAAACATAAAGTGTGTCATTAATTCTTTTTAAAAAAAAGAGTAGAGTTTCACAAAGTACTTCTTAGCAATAAAAGCAAGTGTTTGAATCATTGAGAAGTATTTCTGAAAGTATATGGTAAGTGAGAAATCTTGAAAACACTTACCGGTTTTTCCAAGTAGTTAACAAGTAATCAAGTACTTGCATCAAGTACGTTCTCTAGGGAGTGCGATTTTCCAGTAATGCTCGTAAATTCTACTTTAGACAAAAAGTTCAAAAAGTGATTTCCTTGTCAATAAGTACTCTCAAATTTAGACTATCAAGGCCAAAACAACTAGTCTATATCTGATTTGGTTAAAATATTATGCAAAGAATATCTACGAATGTTCTATTCGAAATGAATAATAGCTATCAATTTAGCTACTTGACAGCAAACATCTTGGAACATTTTCGTGTAACTTTGAGATGAATCTTATCACTATGAATAGAGAAAACGAACAAATATTCTGTTTTAAATATAAAACAAAAGAACCCGATAAGAAAAGTAAACTCTTGCGAATAATAAAACCGCATATGAGTACTTTATGATTATAATATCGACTTTTTGCCAAGACCTTTTACAGCAGTAACAACCGTTATTCATCAGTAACTCTAAGCTTACGAATAACGTCAAGCTATTAAACAGCCCGCAGTAAAAGCAAATTAAGATTACACTCATCCCTCGTATGACTAAAGAATGACTTTTTTTTCTAAATTTTTGCGTAAAGTGAAGAGAAAACCACAGACTGATATTTTTTCACATGATTCGCCACCGGGACATTTTTATTTATGCAGGGCGAGCATATGTCTGATATATGCTGATGTTATCAACCGTTTTGGTTTAGGAAATGATTCAACTGCGTCTAAGTATACTGATTGAAAAAAAAAGAAGGGCTTTCGGTCGGACTAGGATCGGAGATCGAAAAGTATTTTCACTGGGTCAGGCTGAGCCAGATCAAGAATTTTTTGGGTAACATAAGAGACGAAGAAGACCATTTAATAAAATTTTCAAAAGTGGTCGGATCAGATCAGAAAATTTTCAGACGTGATCGGACGGAGCCAGATAAATTTAATCTTTGGTCAGTCCGAACCGGCGCTGTTCCGGAAACTTTCTTCGTCGGACCGGGCCGGGTCTGAAATTTTCGGTCCGTGAATTTTTCGTTTTTATTTTTTATGAATTCTGTTGAGTATAGCGACGATTTTTTAGCTTACTCTCTTCTTATAGGATATAAATCATCGTAACAAATGGTATGATTTGTTGTTTCACCGTACGATGTCTAGAATTTGTGAAGAATGAACTTGAATGAAACATGGAATCATTCGTTTGCATTCAGTTGGTGATCTCTTTTATCGGCAACTATTAGTATCTGATCGTGTCAGTAATGTAATAGCGACAATAGACAATAAATGTTATTTTTATGTCTCTGAAAACAATCCTCGTTTCCGTGGGTAGGGTAATGAAATGAAATTAGTTATATAGACAAAACAAATCTTTCATTAACTAGTTACAACTACAGATAATCTTTAGCACTCTTCTCTACATAATCGATACAGACACCAGGAATATTATTAACAGTTGTTATAATACAGCTTTCAGCGGTTATAGTGATGTCAATGCAAAACGTATATTATAAAATACATTTTACTGGAAATATGCTTCAAAAAATTGCTTGTCGAACTTCAGTTGCTCTATTTCTTGTTTGAGTTTTTGAACATCTTGCCCATCTTCTTTGGATACAAATAGTCTATCATCCAACAGCATTTGTATTTCATTTAAGATTTCTTCTTTATCATCTATTACCTTATCAATATTTCTCAAATGTCTATCGTATACGGGATAATTGATATCGTATATACTATTTGCGTCAAGTTTTTGAACTTGAATCAAATTATTCCAGTCGAATTGCTCATATGCATCAACACTAATAATTTGAACGCTAGGTAATCGATGTGTCTGGAGGGCATCTCGAATTTCTTGAATTTGTTTTTTCAACCGTGTTAAATCATCTTCAAAATAATCATCTGTTTCTCTCCTTGTCCGAAGTTCACTTGAAATCACTTGTACTTTTTTCCTGAGCTCAACTTTTCGTTCATTTATCAAGTGACGAACATGTGTTCGAGCTTGATCGGCTGCCATGATAACTTCTTGAATTGTATCTTCTGTCCATTGATCAATCTTTTCCAATAAATTTGCAGCTGACAGTTGATTAAAATCGTTTATTTGATTTAAAAGTGTATTATGATCGTCAGATATTAAATTTAAATCAGTCAACAGAGCTTGCCGATGATTTATAACGTGTTTTGCACAGAAAAATTCTTTACATCCAGCACAACTGAATGTACCAACACTGATACCACACGTAATACAATCTGATACCATGATTCAAAGTGATCAACAGAAACCAGATTACTTACGAGCTAATAATTATACTCCTATTTCGTAAAATGACTTGACTTTAGAATCAATGTGTTTATAGAATAGTGATAAATTTCTTTCTTTTTGTATTATTAGACATAAAAGATAATGAAGAATTATGACTGTGGATTCTTTCCCTTTCTTAATATACTCACCTTCAATTTTTTTCTTTCTCATGTGCCTTGTTTGTGTAACTATTGTCATGTTATTATATGATAACATAAGAATAATCTGACTTTCATATTAATGCAGAAGAGTCGACGCAATCTCAATTGAAAACAATTTTGAATTGTGCACTCTAGAAAGAGAACAATTAGCCACATTAATACATGCTAACGTATATGGCTTATATGCGAGGTTATTGTTTTTTTCAGAAGAAGTAACTTAGAATAAATATTCAAACATTAATATCAGAAACTTCGATGAGCTGATAAAATTGAGACAGTATAGAATATTCTATAACAAGCTTTTGCGCAACGTTAAAATCAAGGGGATAAAAGAACCACTTCACTTCACTGAGGTTGAAACATCTCAAGTTCACTTCAAGTGAAGAAGTTCTTTTCCCTCCCATCATTGGCGCCGTTTCAGCAGTGAACCGAACTGGTGCTATTTCCCTCTTGGTTAAAACACTGTTTAAAAACTACACATCCACGCAAATATTGTGTTTTAGTTCATTTCAAATTTTTCGTGAGTATGTCGCACTGAATTGCACAGTGGGCAATCACATGGGCACTAGGTGAAAAGTCAAATGTGCGCATTTTTCAGCATTCAAATAGTGCGAAATACACTTCAGTCTACACGCTATTCAAAGGTGTAAAAATTATCGCTCCAAGTGCTCAAATGTGGGAGAAAATATATAAGCGAAAAATAGACTAGATACCAGTGACCACATAGAAATGGATTTTAATTGGATTAAGGGCCTCCCTCAAAAATTATCTCCGATACCGTACATTCGATCTTGACGAAACTTTCAATAAATGTTCGGCTTAAGGAGTTACGAGAACGGAAAATTTTTTTTATATCCAAATCTTACCGTTCAGAAGTTTTTCGGAGATCAACGTCCAAAAACGACCCTGAAGTACTTCCCAAGACTTTTTAATATGCTTCAAGCTGGAGAGTTCGGGTTTGTTTTGTTTTAAGCTAGACGCCTAACTACATGGTCTGACTGGCGCCGAGTTTTCAATTAAGCATTTATTGGTTTTCCAGGCAACCAACAATTTCCAAAACTCAGAAACTCCTTCCAGGTTTTCCAAAAAATCCTCAGTTTGATAAAAGACTAAGACCTAATTCAAAAATCAGCACCGGTCATACCATGTCGTTTCTTTTTCTCTTTTAAACAAAAAAAGAATGAACTCTCTACGACAAACCGCTATTAAAAATCTTGGGAAATACTTCAAGTGTAACTCTTATATAGTGAAAACGCTGTATGAAATACTGAATTTTAGGACTTCTAGGAAAATGCCTGTAGTTTTTTGATGCAAGGTCAAACAGAGCTGTGCGAAATCTTATTTTGATCAGAAGCGTTTGCTCTCCAAATCTGTGTGTTCATAAAAAATTTAATTGCATAAGTATTCAGGAAAAATCTATTATTAGAAGATCTGGTTTTTCGAGTCTCGTAGAAAACTTGTTCAAAATCCAGGAAAAACCACTTTTATAACCAAAAGCGAGACAGATTCTGAAAGCAGACACGTCAGGCTATCTGCCCATGTGCGTAAAACTGATTTTTTGACCGAAAATTACCATTTCTGAAGGGGAAGACCCTTAAACCGATTTAAGTTTGTAAAAATTACATACCCCGAATCTAGAGTGTTTACTTGGTTTTATGATCTAGGAGAAAAAAAATTATTTTCTTAACTACCGCTTTTTCCGGATAGGTTCTGCATCTACAGCATTTCTGAATGAGAACACACGCCTCACAATACCCCTATAACCACACATCTAAAAATTGACAATGACAAATAAAATCACCGTACATCGATTTTAAACTTAATAAAATCTAAAAGAACGGAGGAAACTTCCACAGAATATACAACTTTGATATCGAATGAGGCCACTTTGAACGAAAACAAAACTACGCTTTTTTCAAAAATACGGTTTTTGATCAAAAGGTTTTCTAGAAAACCTTTGAAAGTTTTCGAACATGCAATTCGATAAAGCATCAACTTCTGAGTAAAATGATGTGTCACTCAACTTTCTTAGATGCTTGGTAAAGAAACTGCAGTGCTTGAGACTCTGCTGAAGAAAAAGTCTAGCGAAAATTCATTCATTTCAAGCCAATTCAGTCATTTTTCGAGTTTTGATTTCTCGATTTATGTGCATTGCGGAAGCCTGTATAACACATCATTTTACTCAGAATTTGATGCTCTATCGAACTGCATATTTAGAAAAATTTCAAAGGTGTTCTAGAAAACCGTTTGATCAAAAATCGGTTACAATTTACAGGTTACAAGGTATAAGGTGATGAAAGGTTATAGGTTTCATTGCTATTTTCGGACCCCGCATAGTCGAGTGTCTATTATATTCCATTTTCGTCCAATCAAATCGAAAGCAGGTTTCTGACCAATAGTCTGCGTCCTTGAGGTCTCTCATACTAATTTTTGGATTCCTCAAAGTCGATTAGCTATTCTCTAGAATTTTCATATATTTATTAGTAGGTGCACTATAACGCCAGGACAAAGACCATCCTTGTCTACTTCTAATGTGAACTAAAAATCAAATATATACTAAGTTGTTATAAAGCGGTTATTTACGGTTACATGCCGTTGCATGCCTACTACCGACAAAAATTCAAAATGGCTACCATGCCTGAAATTAAGCGAAGAGCTAGTCTTTTTCTCAAAAGTAATGCGAAAACGTGGAACTTTGTGCATAAAAAGGTAACGCCCATCTGCACTCGCTCGGTGTGCATGTATGCACACGACCTTCGATGACTTCGAATCCACGTAAAGTAGAACACCGCTCGAACAGAGATGTTCGTACTATGGGACTATCTAGAAGGCATGTTATGCATTTTTCTGTGATTTGATGTGTCAGCTTCGTAATGTAATGTAAATCTAAAAAGGATTTTCGAGACCCTCCGAAGATCTTCAGAGGTCTAAACATATTTCTAAATTGAAGACAATGGGCGAGGCAGTAGCAGTTAAATTACGCCGAAATTTTGATTTGGAATGGTTAGAATTAAACACATGTTGTGCATGCAAATTTGCCTTAACTGGTTGGTTCACAGTCAGCTGGCTATTATTCAGATAGTAAGCATAGGATAAAGTCCATGTCTAAATGAGATTTTCTGCTATGCGGTACTTTTCAAGCGATAGATGGAAAAATGAAAGTTCGAGAACCGATATATGAATCTGAGAAACAGATCAGTATCATATACAACTTTTCAACCAAAGCGCGTATCGTCAAGACAAACTCAAAACCTGGTAAAACTTTCTCCAGGTGGATGAGTTGAAATTCAAACGGTTGTTCGTTATTCGATGGAGTCCGATAGGAAATCTTTTACGTCCTATATTCAAGAATGTTCAATCTGGTATGCACTGTAAAAAATAAAGTGTGTTACTAGATGGATAAATCTTCTAGACGCCCACTCAGCATCAAAAAGTGTGTACTTTCTCTAGATGGTCAAAGTCGGTGTGTACAGAGTCAGGTGTGTTAAAAAGATTTCTTATTTTCTATTTTTCTCCGAACTACTGCATCAAAGGAAAAATTAATTTCAGAATCATGATCATCATCTTCAAAAGTATACAGTATACCTAAAAAAGTGTCCACATGACATCCGAACAATCTTTAAACAGAAACAGATAATGATAATTTCGGATCATTCAAAGTCGATTATAGTCAACAGATAATCGAAAACAACACGAAGACGAATGTTGTGCACATCTCAAGCGATTTTTCGAAGAACTCGAACGTCGATTTCCACCGTTTATCTTCCCGAACTTTTTATGATTTTATTTGATCCGTCCTACATATTAGAATATCTACACGATTTAAAGTTGAAACAAGCACAATATGGTCGTATTAATTTTGTAAGAAAGAAATATTCAAAACTATTGGGCGTTTTCACAATGGGTCGTTACAGAATGGGAATCCCTAAAACCTCTTCTATCTGATTTTAGTGCTACCAATAACGGAAAACAGTTGAGAAAAGAGTTTTGGTAATCGTTTATCCACTTGAATACAGCCATCAATATTCATTTTCCTCGACAAGACGAAAATTTAGATATAGTGCTGCAAACCGAGTACAGACAAATAGACGTTTTCGATTAATAACTGAATCACGGGATACTCTGTTAAACGTTAGATTACTATTAACCGATGGGATAAGGAAGTAAGACACAATTTCACATATAGATTCCAGTATAATCTACTACTTTTCTGGCGCAACAGATTATGCAACAAGCATTTTCAACTTGGAGTGATCCGCACAACAAGCGTCGTATAAACAGCAAAATTATTGATTGATGTGCCAGAAGATTTCGAACCGAAAAGACAAACACGTCCAACAAGAAAACGAAGACTAACGATAAAATCAAATGTCTATTCGGTTCTCTTTCACAACCTAAAATAACAAAGTCAAGAGCTATTCGATGTGCAAAGGGTTGTGTTACAGCGATCCCATCTGCTGACGCAGCACAAGAAAATTCAATATTGATGTTACCATCAAGAAGACTACTACGATTGGCTTGATTTAGATAAATGGTGCTCCCGGTAGCTCCTTTTCATGTTTAGTTATGAACTGCAACTATTTAGGGAACTTAACGTTAGGGCCCTATAGGTTACAACTTTTTCATAATCTATAACCTGTCCTGTAAAAACTTTAACAACCTTAATCTTGTGACACCTAACTTTAACAAACTGTAACCTGTCCTAACCTGCAATATATTTTGCGTAACGTGTTTTGTCCTGTCCTGCGAAAAAATTACTGCAAAAAATGAGTACCCAAGTTCAAAAATTTTTCCTAA